TTGTTGTGGATGAGGAATCACGATCTCACCAGTAACCAAACACTTACTTAGTTGATTCAATCAGATCTAAGAGGTCGATCAGAAAGGGAATGTGTAGATTTGTAGAATACCTACTAACCATCGTTAAAGTTTCTATTGCAGCAGAAGCATGATAGGCACTTAGGTCATTCGATGTTAAATACATGGATGATTAATTATAGTGCAAGTGGGAGATTGTTGGAGTAGGTGCCCTAGAGCCAATCAATTATTGTGGAATTGACTCTTGTAATAATGTTTATTAATCAATAAAAGGCATTATCTACTATATCATATAAATCATAGTTGCATATATTGATATGTCCTTAGGATGGCAGAACCATGACGAGGGTACCAAGTGTTTCAAATCTTGATAGTAAGAACCCTATGAGCACATATGGTGGCCATTCTAGAAATGCTTGTAGCCCCAGTATTATTCTGACCAAGGACACAGATAATACAATAAGGTTATCATAGTATTGAATGACCCTATCGAAAGGCAGTGACTAATCTCACTTGTCAAGTTTGTTTGCTGACAACCTGGTGCAACACATGGGTGCTTGCTGTAGGCAAGTTCACTAGACTAACCCACTAGAGGATTCCATATAGATGGTAACCCTAGTGTCTATGGAACAAATCCTCTAACAAATGGTGGTGCATGTGATCCTTAGACTTGAGATCACCGGAGTGCCTTGTGCATCGATTGGTGTAGTTTGACACTAGCCTAATGCAGTTCTATTCAAAGCTGTCAATACGGTAGTGATTGGCTGCATCGAGGAGTGTATCAAGACTATGGTAGATCAACAGAGGATTCATCACTCCTGAGTATGGGAGAAGTTATCTCAGGACGCAATTCAGTTAATGACAATGACAGTAAATCTGTGATCACAGTGGGATTGAGTTGTTGCTCAATCTAACTTATTATTTCGGTCATTGGTCTAGTAACTGAATACAAATATACCGAGGATAACTGAGGTTGACACCATTTCTATACCTCAGTCTTGATGAGATAACAGATGATGAAAGGATTTGATTGCATGGTAACCATATCATTGACAAGTAGCTATTTCGTTGAATCTGAATCTATCAAGTGACCATGATGCTTTGCTAGGGGTCAACCTTGGTCTATGTGTAGTGAGACGATTGATTGGTATCAATCGTGATACTACTCATTGCCGGTATGACGAGGACCCTACAGGTCACATGATGCGTGTTTACTACAACATGCAAAACTAGCAAGTGCACTAGTCGCTCAAGTAATAGAGTGATAGGTAGGATATCGTTCCCACGAGGACTGGTAGCAAAGCACTAAAGTTCCTAACGTTAACAAGTTGAAGCAATCGAATATCTTGGATTGGTGGGAGCACATTGAAATGAAAAAGAAAACAAAAATGAAATTTAACAGAGAATTAAATCTTAACTAAAACAGCAAAATGCAACACAGAATATCAATTCAATTAAAACGGGTAGGGTTTTGACTTCGTTTGGACTTGTATGGGTTAAACCTAAGAGTTACACTATTCTCACATTCACACGCAATGGTTGTAAATCGGATTCTCTAATATGTTAACATACCCTCTCGGGCTATGTTCCCTATTCATCCTTATTAACAATCCGCACCCAACAAATTGAAGGTTAATAATTCTAAATTCATTAAGCACAAGAATCCTAATTTGATTTCATTAGTTCTTGAATCTATCTCTAGCATCCAATACTATAATGGTGATTACCCAAGAAGCTTAACATGAATTATTTCTCAATCTCATCATGTTCATCACATACAGCATTTAAACTCAGAGTAACACACAACCAAAGCTTATTCACATGGAAATAACACAATCAATTACTTAACCCATTTAAAATCCAAACTACAATCAAAACCCTAACCCATAGAAGATTAGTTCATAGCTAAACTAACACTACAAAAACGAAAAATAGAAATAAACAAGTTAAACATAATGAAACTGAAATGAAAGATAAGAAATCTCCCCAAAAGATGAATCTTCTATGTTGTAATCTGAATCTTCTCTTTAACAATCCGAAAAATGCAAGCTTTTTCTCTAAAAAAAATGTAAAAGATGGCTAAACCTAACAGCTCAGAGCCCTTTCAAAAAGTTAAGTTTTTCCTTTTATACTTAGTCTAAAAACCCAGCCAAAAACACGCACACACGAAACTGTGCATTTACAAAACTGAAACATTTGACTGTCGCCGCAGCGAAGAAGAATTCTTCGCCGCGGCGAAGAATGAAAAATCCAATTCGTCTCTGCCTAACTTCGCCGCGGCGAAGACAATTTCTTCGCCGGGGCGAAGCTCCTTCAAAAGTTCTGAAATTTACAGAATTGCCACTCTGCTTGCCTCTTCGTCCGATTCTTCGATTTTCGACTCTCCACCTTGGAAACAAGCTTCATCGTGCGTTGTCCTACTCCGGAACTCTCCTATCTTCTGAAATCCTTCAATTCTGAGTCAAAACTATCAAATTTTAAAATTATTCACTCAAAGAGTCCATTTTAACCTGAAACACGAAAAGTAAAGAATTAAGCACCAATTCAGGTAAAAATGTACTAGAAAGTACTTGCAATCCGACAAAAAGATTAAATAAAAACTGTATAATTAACGGATTATCAACATCCTGTGTCAATGACCCAAGATGTTGAGAGAGAGAAATTAATCTCAATCATAAAAATACCTGAAGTCATAGCATCTGACTTCTTCTTGCTTGCGAGGAAAGCTTTGTAGCGTTTTCGACAGTGGCTAGGCTTGCTACAAAAGAAGCAGACTACCTTTCCCTTCCCTATGCCACTCTCAGGCCCAAGAGCAACCTGTCGTTTGGGCTTGGCCTTGGCCTTACCCTTGCTATTACCCTTTGCTTTATTGGCAGCAACCAGTAAAACAAGCTTGGACTATGTCAAGTCTTGCTCTACAGTCCTCAACATGTTCAAAAGTTCTGACAGGGTTTTCTCCATCGTGTTCATATTGAAATTCATTATGAATGGAGCATAAGAGTCAGGCAAGGATTGCAAAATTAAATCCATTTGTAATTCTGCATCCAAGCCACATCCTGATAAGTGCTTGAAAATACACTTATACTTAGTAGTTTATAGGTATCATTTGTGGGAAATTAGGATTAATTCGCATGAATTAACTTAATTGTTTCTTAAACGCACTTTTCGGGATCATGGGTATTTTTGTTGTGTTTTCAGGAAATAAGGCTCAAAAACAATATTTGGATGAGACATGTTGTTGGTAAGAGAATTTGTGATAACTGGAAACAAACGGATCGAGAATCGGAGTTGAATTGAAGAAGTTATGGAAGTTGAAGTAAAGAGAAGATTCTAGATTACGCTCCAGCTTGAGCATGCCTTAGTATTTTGAGAATATCCTAAGCTGTAGGATCGGATTAAGACGATTCTTAAACTGTTGGAACACTGATTCAAAGGGCTACATTTCATCTGTTTACCAGTTTTCCAAATTTCATCGTTATCGAGTTCAAAAATCACCATCTTTGAAGAACAATGGAATGATGTGGGAAGAAGACCTGTAGCTACTATGCTATGGCACACTTTTCCAATAGCTACAGTGCCACGGCACAGTCACAATAGCTGGGAACTTTTCCTCCATTTTTGACTAGGAAAATAGGATTTTAAGAGTTCTAAACTAACTAGAATGAGGGAAAACAAAACTCTAACCCTTGTGAGATATAAAGGGAAGACTTTTAGCATTATTTTGGGGGAATTCTTTGAGAGATAAAAAAAGAGAGAACAAAAGTTATTGAAGAACTGAAGGAAAAGGGAGATTAAAGAAGGCTTGGAGAAGAGGAATTGGAGGAGATCATCATCAACTTCATTAATCCAACCAAGTTTCACTAAGTTTTTCTTCTTCTTTGTTATTATTATTTGTTATGAATAATACAATGATGTTCTTATATTTATTCATGAAGAACTAATTCTTTTGTGATTGAGGGTGATTTCAAAGCCCTAGACATGTCTTGTGATTAATAAAATCTGCATCTATTTATCTTTTGATCCCTCTTGGTTATGTGATTATTTCTTTGTGAATAGGGTTTAGATAAATTGTCTTAATTGTTTAAGTGCACAATTAAATAGTTAGGATTAATTTATTAATGCCAATTTAGGTTGTTTAGTACGAAATCGCTTTATTAACCTAAATAACTAGTGGTAAAGTGTATACCTGTATACATGAGGGTAATTACTCAAGATAACTAAACCGACCATATGAGTTTAGCCTTGATTCAGTAGGTCTCTCATAACTTAATGCTTTTATTACTTTGAATCTAGAGATCGTATCCTAGGTTATTTAATAAATAGGGAATTGGGTTATGACCGTGTCTAGTCCAACGACTCGGTAAGGAGAGATGAGACTTATCAACATTTGGTATTTTCTAAGCTGATGTGATCAAGAGAGTAGAAAGTTAAATAGTGCTTTTATTTTATGCAATCCGTGTCTAGTGGTGGCAAATAAACCTTCAATCTCGTTTATCTCATTGATTTCTCTATCGTCATTAATTTCTTGATTTACATTGTTTGCTTTGAGTTCTTTTTAGTTTTTGTTGAGATGTTATAATTTGTGACAAACCCCGTTAGAAGTAGATAATTAATTAAGTTCACAAATCCTCTCCGGGAAAGACCCTTACTTGCTCTTTGCTACAACACGACTTTGCATTAGAATTTAGTGAGGTAAAATTAGGTGTTGCATTTGCACACATCAATTTTTGGCGCCATTGTCGAGGATTTTCATTAACTTAATTATTTGTTTACTTTTAGGTTATTTTTCAATTTTTATTTGTTCTTTGTTTTTGAGTTGTAGGTGTTTTTGGTGAATAAGCTTGTGATACAATTTGAGTTCTGATCTAAATCAACCTATTACTCATTCAAAACAACCTTTGCATAGATCAACTCTCGATCAAGCAATCCAGACCGATCTTCCACTCACAAGTGATTCTTCTGATTTTTCTGATCAAGAGGAGATGGCTAATCTAACTCTCAAAGAGATGGCTGCACCAACCATTGACCAACAACCTTTATGCATTCGATACAATGATACGGTAGGGGGAGCTTTTGAGCTTAAATCTGGGATGATTCATCCTCTACCAATTTTCAGAGGTTTAGTGGGAGAGGATCCAAACAAGCACCTTAAGGAGTTCCATGTGGTGTGCTCGAGTATGAAACCAAATGGAACAATGGAGGAACAAGTAAAGTTAAGGGCATTCCCATTTTCTTTAGCAGATAGTGCTAAGGAATGGCTTTATTACCTACCATCCGGGACCATTACTACTTAGAATGAGATGAAGAGGTTGTTCCTGGAGAAGTATTTTCCAGTATTTAGAGCCACACTCATTAGGAAAGAAATTTGTGGGATTCGGCAATACAATGGGGAAAACTTATATGAATATTGTGAAAGGTTTAAGAAATTTTGTGCAAGCTGTCCGCATCATCAAATAAGTGAGCAATTACTTCTCCAATATTTTTATGAGGGATTGATGCCAATGGAGAGGAGCATGATAGATGCAGCAAGTGGAGGAGCGTTAGTTAATAAAACTCCTACAAAAGCAAGGAACTTAATTGCAACCATGGAAACAAACTCTCAACAATTTGGTACTCGATCCGATCCACCACCAAGGAAGGTAAATGAAGTGGGGATATCCAATAATCTTGAGCAACAATTGAATAATTTGGCTGCACTTGTGCAACAAATTGCAATTGGACAAGTGAAGACATGTGGAATTCGCTCCAATGTGGGACATCCTACCGACATGTGTCCTACCTTCAAGAGACAAATGCTAAACAAGTAAATGCCATGGGAGGATACCAAGGACAACAAAGGCAAAGGTATGATCCATTTTCCAATACCTATAATCCAGGATGGAAGGATCACCCTAATCTTAGCTATGGAGGAAATCAACAAGCTGCTGTCACTAATAATCCACCTAGTTTTCCTTACCCACGAGCTCCACAACCGTACCAAGCAAGACCCGAAAATGTTTCCCAACCTCAAGGTAAGTCTTTAGAGGACTTGATAAACTCATTAGAAACTAGATCTCTTCAATTTTAGCAAGAGAATCTCAAGTTCCAACAAGAAACAAAAATGTCAATCAAGAATTTGGAAAGCCAAGTTAGTCAATTGGCTACTACTCTTGGAAGATTAGAGGCGCATGGGTCTGGAAAGCTTCCTTCGCAACCTTTGGTTAACCCTAGGGAGAATGCTAGTGCCATTACTTTGAGAAGTGGTAGACAACTTGAGACGGCTCACAAGAAGCCAAATGATGAGAAAGAAGTTGGAGATGAGTTGATTCATGGTGGAACAAAGCAGCCCAAAAGTGCAGAAAATTCGCCAACTGATTCTTCCAATGCAAAACATCCACCTAAGGTACAATCTAAAGTTCTTATTAATACTTACGAACCTCCTTTGCCTTTTCCTAGCAGGTTTGCCACATCAAAGAAGGAGGAACATGAACAAGAAATTTTGGACACTTTTAGAAAGTTACATGTCAACATTCCTTTGTTGGATACAATAAAGCAAGTGCCGCGTTGTGCAAAATTTCGTAAAGAATTGTGCACCAACAAGAGAAAACTTAAGGGAAACGAGGTGGTGAGCATGGGAGAAAACGTCTCAGCGGTTTTGCAAAGGAAGTTTCCAACAAAGTGCAAAGATCGGGGTAGTTTCACCATACCATGCGTCATAGGCAACACAAGGTTTGAGAAAGCAATGTTAGACTTAGGTGCTTCTATTAATGTCATGTCTTACTCAATTTATCTTGATTTAAATCTTGGTACTCTTAAAGAGACCGGCGTAGTTATTCAACTCGCCGATCGATCTAATGCATATCCAAAGGGAGTTGTGGAAGATGTTTTGGCGCAGGTAAACGAGCTTGTTTTTCCAGTGGATTTCTACGTGCTTGACATGAAAGATGAAACAACTGTGAAAACCACGCCATTGCTTTTGGGGAGACCATTCATGAAAACATCCCGTACGAAAATAGATGTGCATAATGGGACATTGACAATGGAGTTTGATGGGGAAGTCATTCAATTTAACATCTTTGATGCAATGAGGTATCCTAATGATGACAATGATTGCTTTTCCATTGATGTACTTGACTTTTTAACGCAGCAAATATTCAAGCTTAAGGGTAAAGATCCATTGGAAGTGGCAATATGGAATGGGTTGTCAACCGAGGAACCTCAAAGTTTTAATGAAGATGTAGAGTTGGGAGAAGAGCTAAATGAAACTACAGCAATGTTAGATGAGCTTCCAAAGAAAAATCCAAGGTATGAAATCTCTTATATTTCTCTTCCCATATCTAATGAGAAACTTTTACCTTCCATTGTGCAGGCCCCTACCTTGGAGCTTAAGCCTTTACCAAGTCATCTCAAGTATTTATACTTGGGAGAAGGAGACACATTGCCCGTGATTGTAGCGGCCAACCTTTCAAAGGTGCAAGAAGAGAAACTTGTTCATGTGTTGAGAGAGTACAAAACGGCAATTGGTTGGACGATTGCTGACATTAAAGGAATAAGTCCTTCCATGTGCATGGACCGCATATTAATAGAAGAAGGATCGAACCCTACAAGAGAAGCGCAAAGACGGTTGAATCCACCAATGATGGAAGTAGTGAAGAAGGAAATAATCAAGTTGTTAAATGTTGGTGTGATCTACCTAATTTCGGACAGTAAATGGGTTAGTCCAGTCCAAGTAGTTCCTAAGAAATCCGAAATAACCATGGTAAAAAATGAAGATAATGACTTAGTTCCCACTCTGGTGTCCTGTCGTAGGCACCCAAAATTAAAACCTAAAAACACATGTAGTAGTGTGAGTCAGGGTCATTCCCAAAGAGAGTGTCTAGCCGAATTTTTTGTTATGTGAACAAGGCTGAGGGGGCTTTTTAGTAAAACAGAAACTTTTCCAGGAAAACAAAATAATTCAAATCGAATTCAATCAAAATAACGAACCTGGTCTCCGTCAACATCCACCATCGGAATCTTACAATTGATCATTGATGCAAAAGTAAATCAATTCTTACTTTGAATATTCACCGTTAGAACTATTTTCTTATCTCTCCTTAATTGTAATTAATTATGTAACGCCCCACTCGAGATACGTAGCTAATGTCTCTTACTTTACTCTTGTTGACTTGGAATATTGTTAATATGGTTTGGTTGGCCCTTGATTGAAGGATGCTTTGGTTTGGTTGAGTGGTTGCCCTGAAATTGTAGAGACTTGGTGGAATTTTGGGGTCACTATCTTCACCGGAGCGAAGAAGAATCGTCGCTGCGGTGATGAGGCCCTGCAACCCACGGTGTAGGTTCTATGAAGTTTCGCCGGGGTGAAGAAATAGTCTTCGTCACGGCGACGAGCCTAACAAAAAGTTTAATGAAGTTTCTAGAGAATTCTTCCTTTGGAGCACAATGACCATTCTACCCTTAATTAGCAGGAAAAGTGGGGAGTGAAATGTAAGGAAATTGCATGGAGAATAGTGTAATTGGGGGTGCATTTGTAAAGAATTAAAAGGGCAAAAGTGGAATTCTTAAGAAAGAGTAACGGTAAAATGGGAAAGAATGGAGAAAATATGAGATTATAAGGGTTTAACTTTAGAAACCCATTCATTCATCTTCTTCCACCGCCTCTTTCATTCTCCATTTCCTCTCAATTTCTCCTTCAAGCTTTCAAGGATTTTGAAGGGTTTTTAGTTAGATCTTGGTAGAGAATTGATCTAAGTCATCCTAAGGTAAGATTTCTTACTCTAGATGTGAATTTTACCTATAAGGTGATGAGGTCTTAATGTGTTATTGTTTTAAGGTGTAGAGAAAAGTCTTCTACCAAAGGAAAAGAGAAGTGTTAGTGGAATCACATCATCACAAGGTAAGTAAATTCTAACAAAAGTTGATATTTGAGAATTCTCGTGAGTAGAGATTTAGTAGAAATGAGGTATGCATGTTATATGTATGTTATTGAGAAATTAAGTAGAGATATATGTCTACTTGTTGAGAAAATAAGTTGAGAATGAGTATTCATATTGTGTTGTTGGGTATATTTTCTTTATAAGAAGTGTTGATGTGTTATGAGTTGAGATGAAGTTAAATGAGATTGAGTATATATTTTGGGAGTGTTCTTCTATGATAGGGGTTATGCCCATGGAAGGGAGTTCATTCCCATTTTTGGATGGTTAAAAAGAGAAATAGAGCTGTAGTGAGAGAAGAGTTTTTATATGCACATGAGTTGTTTGATGAAATGCCTAAGAGAAGCATGAAAATGAGTTATGAACCTTACTTATTGCAACATTGCATATTGGCATTTCCTAAGGGCATTAATGAGCATGAACCATCTATATGCATTAATTGTGCATTGAGAAGTAGCTTGAGAAAGAATTGAGAAAGAGTAGAGAATTACTCTAAGAGTTAAGCTACATTATGATGAGTAGCTAGAGAAAGAGTAGAGACCTTGTGCACAAGCGACTCTAAGAGCTAAAAAAGAGAATAGAGTAAGTTGTGCGATGGGGAACCTGTGAGTGATGAGTTGAGTCACGAGAGTGGGTGCTTTGTGATCCCCAGCCGTGCCTCCGGTAAGATAGGGCCGTAACCGTCACGTAGAGTGGAACATGAGATTCTAGCCGTGCCCTCGGTAAGAAAGGGCCATGACATTCAAGAGATATAGAGAAAGAATGTACACTCACATGGCCAAGGGTTTCGAATCCATGCATGACCAAATCCGATCAGTAGAGAAATGAGTAGAAGTCCCGTAGAGTGGTAGCGCCCAGCCGTGCCTCCGGTCAGATGAGACCGTGACATTCCAATGAGTAAGAATGAGAAACAAAGAAATAGAAAGAACAGAAAGAGAAAAAGAGTAAACTGACGAAGAGTGGGTTGAGTTCTCAGCCATGCCTCCGGTAAGATGAGGCTGTGACATACACCAGAGGGTGTATAGCAAAGAATATGAGAAATAGAAATAGTAAGAGAACAGAGATGAGAAAAGAATAGTGTAAGGAAAGAATTAAGAGAAAGTGTTACAGGGATAGACATGTAGAGGATTTACTTACTGAACATTAGTTGTGCTCACCCCGTTGTTTCTATGCTTTTGCAGGTTCCAGGTGAGTACGCAGTCGGATGGACGTTAGCGGGCGAGGGAGAGTAGTTACACTATCCACCACACTTTTGAGAACTTTTGTAAATGATACTAACTTTATGTAAAGAATATGTATATTAAATGAAAGAAAATTTTTGGGCCCAACTATTTTTATTAATGTACCTTTATTTTATTGTATGTGTTTTTATGAATATAGTAGTATAAAGCAGGTATTACATTTTTGGTATCAGAGCAGAGATTTTGGGATTTGACAGTGTACTATTCTCATTGCCACGACGTCCGATAGCCGACTGTGTAAGTTAATTCTTTCCTTACTATGAGTGTTTCTCAGATTGATCAAGTGTGGTTGTTTTGTAGATGAGGCGTAGTACCCAAAACTGTGGTAAAAGTGTGATGAATGAGGGAGAACCTTCTAACCTACCAGAATCTACGCCTCCTACCTTGGCTGAAGCTAGAATTCGGGGGATTGTACAGGAAGTTATGGCAGAAAGCCAAGGGAGAGTTGAGACCCCCGTGCAGGTACCACCGACCCCTAATGTCAGAAGAGAACAACCAGTACCTCCCACAGTACAGAATAAAGTTGAGCCGATATATGGTCTTCCCAGTCAACATCAACCCTTAGAGTTTAAGGGTACTATGGATCCAGTAATAGCAGAAGAGTGGTTTTGATCCGCAGAGCGTTCCACAGGTTTATTCCCCATGATAGACCGGGAGAAGATCCGGTATGCGAGTTTTCTATTTCGGGGTGATGCCCGAATTTAGTGGGAACTAATAGAAGATACTCATGATGTTGTAGTAATGGCTTGGGAAGAATTCAGGCGAGAGTTTGAGGCTGAGTATAGAACATAGTATCGAGTCCATGAGAAGGTCCAAGAGTTTATTGGTTTGCAGTAGGGGTCCAGTACAGTTAAAGAGTATCCAGTGAGATTTAATGCCCTTGCTAGATTTGCACCAGGAATTGTTAGCACTCCGGTATTAAGGAGAGATAAATTTGTTCATGGGTTGAAACCGGAGATAGCTTGGACATAATGACGGGTGCCGATCCCCCGCAAACCTATAGTGAGGCCTTAAGGCGGGCAATGAGGGCAGAGATATTTGAGAACAAGATCACCCCTGTAGGTCCTTCAGTAGAAGGATCAAGTGAGCCACCTTCCGCCCTACAAAAAGAAAAAGTTGAGAGCGGGAAGAGTAAAGAAATGAAGAATAATAAGAAAAAGTTTCAGCCTAGACAGAATAGAAGAGATTGGAGGAGTAAACGACCTCAGACAGAAGGGTTTCCCCCTTGTCCTAAATGTGGAAAGAACCACTCAAGAGAGTGTTTGAGAGACCAGAACGTGTGTTATCGGTGCCGACAGCCAAGGCACTTGAGGAGGGATTGTAAAGCTCCTCTCCCATCAACAGTCCAGAGTTTTAGAGGTACTAGTGTCAGAGTGTTTTTCGTGGCACAAGGTGAAGCAGAGGCCAGTCTATTAATTATCACTGGTCAGTTATTATTTCATGCAATTCCTTTATATGCTTTAATTGATTCTGGAGCTACGTATTCTTTTATATCTTATGGGATGATAGAGAGGTTAGGTTTGAAACCTAGTAGAGTAAATCAACCCATTAAGATAGAGTTACCTGATGGGATTAGCGTGGTGACCCATGAGATATTGTCTGGAGAGTTCGTAGTGATCCATGGACGCGAGTTAGGAGTGGATTTAATAGTGTTTGATATGCCTGATTTTGATATGATATTGGGCATGGATTTCCTAGGGTGGAATGGAGTAGAGATTGATTGTGAGAAGAAGAAAGCGAGATTTAATCTCAATAATGGAGACAAGTTTAGCTTTGGAGAAGGCCATCAATTAAGCATGTTGATTAGTAGCATGAAAGCTAGAAAGATGTTAAGAAAGGGGTGTTCAGGGTATATTGCATATGTAGTGCAGAGTGGTGATATTCCTCAGTCAGAGATTCAAAGGGTGCCAGTAGTTCGAGAGTTTTTAGATGTGTTTCCGGAAAAGTTACCGGGTTTGCCCCCAGAAAGGGAGGTTGAGTTTAGTATTGAACTAGCACCAAGAACAGCACCAATATCTAAAGCCCCTTATCGGATGGCCCCAACAGAGCTTCAGGAATTAAAGAAGCAATTCCAAGAGCTTTTAGATAAAGGCTTTATCCGACCGAGTCATTCTCCCTAGGGAGTTCTAATCCTGTTTATAAAAAAGAAAGATGGGTCACTACGGATGTGTATAGACTATAGAGAGTTGAATAAAGTAATCGTGAAGAATAAGTACCCGTTACCTCGTATTGATGATCTGTTTGATCAGTTAAAAGGAGCAACAGTGTTCTCCAAAATTGATTTAAGGTCAGGGTACCATCAAGTAAGGGTGGCTGAGCAAGATGTAGCAAAGACGGCTTTTCGTACAAGGTATGGGCATTATGAATTTGTAGTGATGCCTTTTGGCTTGACTAATGCCCCAGCAGTTTTTATGGACTTGATGAACCAGGTATTCTATGATTGTTTGGATCAATTCATAGTGGTTTTCATAGATGATATCCTGGTTTACTCTAAGTCGAGAGAAGAGCATGAGGAACACTTGAGATTAGTGTTGCAACGATTAAGCGAAAGAACGTTGTATGCTAAGTTTTCCAAATGTGAATTTTGGCTTGATCAAGTATTGTTTCTGGGCCATACTGTGTCTAAGGAAGGGATTTCGGTAGATCCGAGTAAAGTAAAGGCAATCCTTGAATGGCAGTTTTGAGTTAGGAACATACCTTTGATATCTTGGGTATTACATGTATAGACTATAGAGAGCTGAATAAAGTAACAGTGAAGAATAAGTACCCGCTACCTCGTATTGATGATCTGTTTGATCAGTTGAAAGGAGCAACAGGGTTCTCCAAAATTGACTTGAGGTCAGGGTACCATCAAGTAAGAGTGGCCGATCAAGATGTAGCAAAGACTGCTTTCCATACAAGGTATGGGCATTATGAATTTGTAGTGATGCCTTTTGGTTTGACAAATGCCCCAGTAATATTTATGGACTTGATGAACCGGGTCTTCCATGATTGTTTGGATAAGTTTATAGTGGTTTTCATAGATGATATCCTAGTTTATTCTAAGTCAAGAGAAGAGCATGAGGAACACTTGAGATTAGTGTTGCAACGATTGAGGGAAAAGAAGATATATGCTAAGTTTTCCAAGTGTGAGTTCTGGCTGGATCAAGTATTATTTTTGGGCCATACTGTGTCTAAGGAAGGGATTTCAGTAGATCCGAGCAAAGTAAAGGCAATCCTTGAGTGGCAGAGGCCGAAGATAGTGAAAGAGGTTAGAAGTTTCTTAGGCCTAGCAGGTTACTACTGGCGATTTGTAGCAAGGTTCGCCCAATTGGCTAAACCATTGACAACTCTTACGAAACAGATAACTCCTTTTACATGGTCAGAGGCATGTGAAGCGAGTTTTCGAGATTTGAAGAAGAGGTTAACGACATCTCTCATATTAGTGTTACCACAAGAATGTGTAGACTATGATATTTATACAGATGCCTCTTTGCAAGGACTTGGTGCCATGTTAATGCAGGTAGGTTGGGTGATAGCATATGCCTCTCGGCAATTACAAGAATATGAGATGAGATACCCTACACATGACTTAGAGTTGGCAGCCATGGTCTTCGCCTTAAAGATTTGGAGGTATTACCTTTATGGTGTCAAGAGTAATATCTACACCGATCATAAGAGTTTAAAGTACTTCTTCACTCAGAAGGAGCTGAATATGAGGCAAAGAAGGTGGTTAGAGCTGGTTAAAGATTATGTTGGAAATAAAATAGAATAACATATATCCTAACATAATCCCAAGATCATAGTCGCCATTGCAATCACATTTGTATATAAATGAACTACAATGAATTAACACAGCATAAATACCTCATTTCCTTATCTCTGAAGCAACAAAAGTAATCTGGAAGAAAAACCATGAATTGTATTTCTGTTTTCCAAATTCTAGAGAGAGAGCGTATTTCTTTTTGCGTTTTTTAGAGTGACAGTGTAAGTAACCATTTCTAAAAGGAAAAAGTTTTCCTTTTATATGGGAGCGGTTCATGAGAAATTGCCTTTGGCAGTTTCCACTTCTCACGTCCCTTCATCATGGGTGGACTTTATTTAAAAAAGTTTTAAATAAAAGCAAACGGGAACGTATCCAATATCTCCCACTCACACATGATGGGACTATCTCTCTCTATGCTTCTTTAAGGTTCATACCTTAGTAAATATGATGTGTGACCATGCATACTCCGAGAGCACGTCAGTCATATATCTGTTAGAAATATATAACTTCTTGAATTGTGAAACTCAGGTTGTATGTTGTATGCAATACCCTAGATTACTTATCACATTTTTCTATATATACCGCAGCAAGTTCACTGGACTGACCCACCAGAGGATTCCATATGGATGGTAACCCTAGTGTCTATGGAACAAATCCTCTAACGAATGGTGGTGCATGTGATCCTTAGACTTGAGATCACCAGAGCGCCTTGTGCACCGATTAGTGCAGTTTGACACTAGCCTAACGCAGTTCTATTCAGAGCTGTCAATACATTGGTGATTGGCTGCATCAAGGAGTGTATCAAGACTATGGTGGATTGATAGAGGATTCATCACTCCCGGGTACGAGAGAAGTTATCTCACGACGCAATTCAATATATGGCAATGACACTAAAACTGTGGCCACAATGGGATTGAGTTGTTGCTCTATCCAATTTATAATACAGGTCATTAGTCTAGAAACTGAATACATAATATCGAGAGTAACCAAAGGTTGACACTATTTCTATGCCTTCGTCTCGTCGAGATACAGAATGATGAAAGGATCGAATTGTACGGTAACCATATCATTGATAGTATCTACTTTGCTGAATCCGAATCTATCGGGTGGCCATGATGCATTGCTAGGGGCTAATCTTGGTTTGTGTATTAGTGAGACAATTAAATGGTGTTAATCGCGGTACTATACACTGCCGGTATGATGAGGATCCTACGGCTCACACACATAGAAGATAATTTAAGAGCCAGGAAGAAAGAAAGGCGTTTTCATCTTTTTGGGCAAAATGGTATTTTGGTAATTTCACAGTGCAATTAAATTTGTTGAGGTCATAGCCTTTATTTAATTTATTAGAAAAATTAAATAAGTGAAATTACGTTTAAATATGTGTTCGCATATATTTAAATAAATTATCATTATTGTTAAATGTTAATATATATATTAAATATTTATTAATTGGTTTTAATTGAAGATAATGATGAAATAAAATCAATATCTAATTGGGAGTGTTTGGTAACATGGGGTGTTTGGGTTGGAGCCCAAGCCTATTCCACAAGGGAATAGGGCAACTAAAATATGACTATAAAAGAAAAAGGTGTGTGTGTGATTTTTAATTAATTGGTTCATTCTTTGATTGAGAAAGAAAAACACACAACCCCAAAAACACTCTCTCCCACGCCATATTACCATTTTGGTTTGAAATCAAATTCTTTTAATTTTCTTCTTGTTTCTTAAAGCTAAGGAGGATTTAGCAAATCCCTCATTAGTTCTTTGTGATTGTCTTCGTATGGACTACGTGGGTTCGATCCTACACTTGGGTCGATAGCCAAAACGTTCAAGGACAAAGTTGGTGGAGCCTCCAAATGTGCGTAAGATTATTGAACCTTGAATCTGATTTTCTGCAAATTTAATTTATATATTGTATAAACTGTGATATTATACCTGGATCTTGGTTCTAAGGAACGATCCATGTCATTTATGTTTTTGTTTTCCGCTGCGTAAGTGGGTCGTTCACTAACAGTTCTATTTAGAGCTATCAGTATGATAGTGA